GGGACACCGCCTTCTGTTTATAACCAAGGGGGGGGGGATGTCTCTTTTAGGGGGGGTAGAAAGGTGGAGGGGGGGTACGATAAAAGGGAGGGGCTGCCTGGCGGGCCAATAGGAAGTGAGAGTGGGCGGGACAAAGCCTGAAGGGGGCGTGGCCTCGAGGGGGCCACGTGCGGCGCGAGCACGTGGCGCGGCGGCGTGAGGCCGCCTGAGCTTGAACGGGGGGGGGGGGGGGCCCTGGGGCGGTTGATTTGGGGGGGGGGGGTCCCGGTGTGATGGGCTCGGGAATGGCCCCAGTGTCCCGGTACAACCCCTCCGGGGATCCCCCCACCCCGAAGCGTCCTGAGGGGGGAGGTCCCGAGGCTTCGGGATGGGGGAATCCCCCCGTTATTTTGATGTCCCAGCAGCCCCAAGGCCACCGGGGACCCAATTCGGTGCCCCCCTTTGGAGGAGGATTGCTGGGGGGGGACACGCCGCTGTGGCGGTAGCATGGTGGCTGCAGCAGCAACTGTGTGTGACGGGAGACACATGGTCCTGGTGATCTCATGTGTACCCGATGTCACCCTCCACATGTCCCTGCTCTGAGCTATGTCCTGGTGTTGCTGCATGGGATTTGGAAGGGGGGGGTGCCTGTGTGTCTGTGACACAGGGATGGCTGTGAGCCCGCCATATTTATGGGGTATGTGTAGGTCTGTGACAAAGGGATGGCTGTGAGCCCCCCATCTTTATGGTGTGTGTGGGTCTGTGATAGGGGTGGCTGTGAGCCCCCCATCTTTATGGTGTGTGTGGGTCTGTGTCATAGGGATGGCTGTGAGCCCCCCATCTTTATGGTGTGTGTGGGTCTGTGATAGGGGTGGCTGTGAGCCCCCCATCTTTATGGTGTGTGTGGGTCTGTGATAGGGGTGGCTGTGAGCCCCCCATCTTTATGGTGTGTGTGGGTCTGTGTCATAGGGATGGCTGTGAGCCCCCCATCTTTATGGTGTGTGTGGGTCTGTAACATAGGGGTGGCTGTGATTCCCCCCATCTTTGCGGAGTTCCCCTCCTGCAGAGCCATTTTACTGCACCCCATAAGCGAGGGGGCTGTGCTGAGCTCCCCCCCCCCCCGTGCTGCCATATGTGTCTGGTGGGTGCAACTGTCGTGACATCCCGGTTACGCCTCCAGAGCATTCCCAGCCCATGTTCCTCCCATGGGTGCTCCCAGGGCTCCGTGCCCGTGTCCCCATCCGACACGTTCCCGGCTAACCCGGCTGTCCCCGTTCCACGTGGAGCCGGCGCCCGTGTGGCCGCCGCCGGGCGCGGTGCCTGACTCACGGTGCGTGGCACACGTGCGGCCGCGGATCCCCGTGGGTCCGGGATGCATCCGGGGCGCTTCCCCCTCCGCCCGCCCTGCCCAAGGGCTGCGAGCTCGGCTCCGGCTGAGCCCGGCGCAGCTCGGTGCATGGGTGGCTCCGCTCTGCAGGCGGTGTCATCAGCTACGTGGGCTCCAGCTGCGCTTCGCCCAACCGCACCAGCCCCGTCTCGCTCTGCAGCGACAGCTCCAACGGCAGCTCCCAATCCGGCTCCCAGCCCTTCCCCACCTACTTCCCCCCATCACCCACCGGATCCCTGCAGGATTCCCGTGCCTACGGCGGGGGCTCGTTGGGCACCCATGAGGATGGCTCCCCTTCCTCCTCCTCCTCCTCTTCCTCCTCCTCATCCTACGGCTCCTCGGTGAACTTCCCCGGGGTGCAGCCGCAGGTCCCTGTGGATGAACGGCGGCGCAGCTCGCCCAGCAAATCCGGCAGCACCGTCACCAGTGAGTGGGGCACGCCGGGGGATGGGGGGGGTACAGGGGTCCCCCAGGACCCTCCTCACCCCTGTCCCCCCCCCACCGCAGAGCTGAACGGGATGGTGCTGCTCTGCAAGGTCTGCGGGGACGTCGCCTCCGGCTTCCACTACGGCGTCCACGCCTGCGAGGGCTGCAAGGTACCGGGATGGGACCGGCGTGTTGGGGAGCCCCTGCGGTGTTCCAGGGGCCCTGGGTGACCCCCTCCCTGCCCCACAGGGCTTCTTTCGCCGCAGCATCCAGCAGAACATCCAGTACAAGAAGTGCCTCAAGAACGAGAACTGCTCCATCGTCCGCATCAACCGCAACCGCTGCCAGCAGTGCCGCTTCAAGAAGTGCCTGCTGGTTGGCATGTCCCGTGATGGTGAGCTCAGCACCCCCAAAACTCCCCCCAGAACCGGACACCCCCTGTTCAGTGCTGTACAACCCCTCTGGGGGTGGGACCCCCTATACCCAGGGCTGCATATCCCTTCCAGTGATGGGTCCCCCCATTTTCAGGGCTATGTGTCCCCTCCAGGACTGGGTACCCCCATGCTTGGGGCTCTATGTCCCCCTCTTGGGATGGGTCCTCCTGTTCTCAAGGCTCTGCATCCCCACCAAGCCAGTGCATGGGGACGCAGCCACATCCCCTGCATCCCCCAGACCTCTACCACACATTACTGGGGGGGGGTGGGGGGTGGCGTTGTTGGTGCACCCCACCTCCCCACTAACACCAGTGTGTGTCCCCCCCCCGCAGCGGTGCGCTTCGGGCGCATCCCCAAGCGGGAGAAGCAGCGGATGCTGGCGGAGATGCAGAGCGCCATGAGCAGCATGGGCAGCGTCCCACCGGCCATGCCCGCCCCGGCCGAGGGTCCAGCCCCGGCTGGGGGCCGCCCGCTGCCTCCGGGGCCCCCCCCACCGCTCGTCCCGCCCCCCCCCGCCGCCTGCTTCTCCCAGTTCCCGCAGCAGCTCACCCCCCCCCGCTCGCCCAGCCCCGGGGGGGCCACCGAGGACGTCATCGCCCAAGTGGCCAAGGCGCACAAGGAGATCTTCATCTACGCTCACGACAAGCTGGGACCCCCCCCCGCCTGCGACAGCAGCCTCCTGCGCTGGGACGCACCCCCCGCCTGGACCCCCGGCCCCCCCGAGCCCCGGCTCTGCCTCCCCTCGTACCCCGAGCCCCCGGCGCGGGGCTGCCCGTGGCCCCGCGGCACCAAGGACGTTCTGCCGGTGAGCGCGCGGGGGGGTCCCGTTGCCCCCCCATGGGTATCTCGAGCCGTTCACTGCAGAGGGCTGAGCCGTGCCGTCACCCGCAGGCCTGCCCCATGAACAGCCACCGGCCCGGCCGCAGCGGGCGCTCGGTGCAGGAGATCTGGGAGGATTTCTCCCTCAGCTTCACTCCCGCTGTCCGTGAGGTGGTTGAGTTTGCCAAGCACATTCCCGGCTTCCAGGCCCTGTCCCAGCACGACCAGGTCACCCTGCTCAAGGCTGGCACCTTCGAGGTACGTTCCCAGATCACCAAGGGTTTGGTGTGCTGTAGGGCCGGGCACGGTGCCCCGTGGCCCCCACACGACGTCCCATGGCACTGCATGCCCCGTGGGTCAGCATGGAATGATACGGCGTTTCATGGCACCCTATGGAGCAGCACAGTGCCGCTGCAGCATGGGCACTACGTCCCATGGCACTGTATAGTGCCCCACAGCATGGCACGGAGCCCCGTGGCACTGTATGGTAACCCACGGCCTTGCGTAATGCCTACGGACTGGCATGGAGCCCCATGGCACAGAGCCGCAGCACGGGGCATGGCACTATATTGTGGTCCATGGCATCACATGGTGTTCCATGGCATGCAGCTGTGGCACAGAGCATGTATGGTGGTCCATGTCATCACGTTGTGCTCCATGGCATGGAGCCATGGCACAGAGCATGGCATTGCATGGTGGTTCATGGCACGGAGCCATGGCACAGAGCATGGCATTGCATGGTGGTTCATGGCACGGAGCCATGGCACAGAGCATGGCATTGCATGGTGGTTCATGGCACGGAGCTGTGGCACAGAGCAGGGCAGTGTATAGTGCTCCGTGGCAGAGCATGGCATTGCATGGTGGTTCATGGCACGGAGCCATGGCACAGAGCATGGCATTGCATGGTGGTTCATGGCACGGAGCCGTGGCACAGAGCAGGGCAGCGTATGGTGTTCCATGGCATCACACGGTGCTCCATGGCCCAGAGCCGTTGGCAGAGCATGGTGCTGTACAGCGGTCCATAGCATCCCAATGGAGCCCGCAGCCTGGCGCGGTGCCGCTGACGCCGCGTGTGCCGCAGGTGCTGATGGTTCGCTTCGCCTCGCTGTTCGACGTGAAGGAGCAGACGGTGACGTTCATGAGCCGGACGAAGTACAGCCTGGAGGAGCTGTGGGGCATGGGCATGGGCGACCTGCTCAGCTCCATGTTCGAGTTCAGCGAGAAGCTCAGCGCCCTCGACCTCACCGACGAGGAGCTGGGGCTCTTCACCGCCGTCGTCCTGGTCTCGGCAGGTTAGGACTTGCGGCGATGTGGGGGGCGGTGGGAGATTGGGGGGGGATGCATGTGTGTGTATGTGCAGCACCATCCACACACGGCCCCCTCCCCGCTGCCGCAGACCGCTCGGGGATGGAGGACACGGCGTCGGTGGAGCAGCTCCAGGAGACCCTGATCCGTGCCCTGCGCGCCCTGGTGCTGAAGACGCACCCGGCCGAGACGTCCCGGTTCACCAAACTGCTGCTGAAGCTGCCGGACCTGCGCACCCTCAACAACCTCCACTCCGAGAAGCTGCTCTCCTTCCGCATCGATGCCCAGTAGGGCCCCCATGGACCCCCCTCCTACCCCAAGCACCCACCACCCTGTACATAGCACCGTGGGTTTGGGGTGGGGCAGCACCAACCCCATGGCACCCACCGGACTCCCAAAGGGTGGGCACTGGGATGCCAGGACCCCCCTGTTCCCCATAACTGTGGGCATCAGCCCCACAGCAACGCTGGCAGCGCCGGGGGGCTGGGTTTCCCCATCCTGGTCCCCCCACTCCGGCAGGCAGCGGTGGGAAGCAGAGGCCGGATCCAACCAAGCTCTATGGGTGGGTTTGGTTGGGTTTGGTTTGGTTTCTTTTTTGTTTTCATCATATATTTATTACATAAATATATAGTAAAATAGACCAGCAACAATTACCATAAAAATATCTTTCTTTAAAATCCTGACCAAAACACAAAAGGGTTTAAAATCGCACGTCACAGACTGTGATTGTCACGGAGCTCAGCGTGTGTGTCCCCCCCCCTCACCCCCCACCCCCCCCCCCAACACCCCAACACCCCCTCCCAACCCTCCCCATCCCGCGCCCTACATTCAGCGACGCCGGCCGCGGCCCCCCGCCGCCACCATGCATAGTAGGGGGACCCCGCGCCGGGCCATGCCGCGCCGGGTGGGCTCGACACGGCCTCAAGCAGGGGCAGCTCCGGGAGCCATGAGGTATGTGCTTGGGGGGGGACGGGGGGGAACGGGGGACACGACGACAACAACAAGGGGGATGACCCGGGGGAGGTGGTGGGATGGGGGGCACCGGTCCTACCCCCCCCCCCCTCCCCACCCCAGGCGATGCTGGACGTGCGATGGCGACGCGAGACGGGGACGGGAGGTTGCGGCCCGGGGCGAGTGCGAGGGAGAGCGGGGGGGTGCTGGCCAGGATGAGCCCCCCCAGGGCATCGTGCTGCTGCCCCGGGGGGACCCCAACACCCGCTGCAAGTGGGGGGGGGGGCACGGCTGCTGCTTCAGACACATCCCACAACAGCTCTGGCTTGGCGGTGAGCGCGGCAGCGCACAGCATCACACACACTGTGCACGGGAATACACGGGCATCGCATGGCACCGGCACCGCGTGGCCACTGCGCCGGCGCTACACCAACATGCACCGGCCCTGTATGGTCACTACACCAGCACTGCATGGACACTGCCAACAGCATGCACGGGCACTGCACCGGCACCGGATGGCCACTGCACCAGCACTACATGGACACTGCGTCGCCACTGCCGCCGGCGTGGCTCGGCCAACCGCACCGGCACCACATGGCACAGCAAGGGCATCGCACGAGCATCGCTCCAGCACGCACAGCCCTCGCGCCGCCACCGCACACGTGGGCACTGCCCCGGTGCCGTGCCGCAGCCCGAAGGCACGTGTTAACGCCGGTGCCGCACACGGAGCAGCGCTGAGCGTGACCACGGGCACCGGTGCTGCCGGGAGGGGGGTGAACCCCTAAACCCTGTGCACACACACACACCCCCCCCCCCAAGCACAGGCATTAGTGTCCACCAGCACCGGTTCCTATTGCACAACCCGGTGCCGGTGCTGCCGGGACCCCCGTGCCGGGCACCGGGCTGGCTCTTTAAGACATGTTGCACTAAGTGCAAAGCCAACGCTGATGCTGCAGGGGGACGGAGGGGGGGGTGTGTGCCGGGACCCCCCCCCCCCAACCATGAGGGCACCCATGGGTGCTGCAGCCCTGCCATGCCACACAGCCCCACTGCACCCCCCTGGCCTGGCTGCAGTGGGGGGGGTTGGGGTGTCTCTGGTGGGGTCCCCCAGACAAAACCCCCTATGCCAAGGTAAGGGGTGGGGGGGGAGCGGAGGGGCCCCCACGTGTCTCATGGTGGGATTTTTCTGCTTTTAAACGACCCGTAAAAAGATTTTTTTTTGTTTTTAATTACAAAAATTATATATTTTATAGATATTTATATATATATATATATATTAGCTTAGGTGGGCCCCGGCAGGCCGCCTGCCTCGCCGGCCGCCCCCCCCGCGCCCCCCCTCAGCCTCCGCCTGAGGTAAGAAAAGATTCACAAACCTAAATTTGGGGATGGGGGGGGGGGGGAGGGAAGGTGATAAAACCATTCCCGGGTGCCCCCGCTGCAGCCCCCCCCCCAGACCCACCCCCCCCTGCACCGCAGCCTGGTGCCCCCCCCCCCTTCCCCCGGGAGCAGAGGAGGGGTGTGATTTAGGGGTTGCAACCCCCGCCCCCCCAAGTGCTGCTGCCGGGGGGCTGGGGCAGTAGTGCAGTGGGGGCCATGTGGGGGCCCGGGGGGGGGGGCACCCCCCAATCCCCGCTGGTGCCTCTGGGGCCATTGCAACTCCTGACGGACACGACAAATAAACCCACGAGGACGAGGTGGGGGGGGGGAAACAACAACAAAAAGAAGGACAACGGAAAAGTTGGGGGGGTGATGGGGAGGGAGGGGGCGGCCGCAGCGGGTCCGTGCCCCCCCCCATCCCCTCCTCCCCACGGTGTCCCGCAGCGCCCACCGTCTGCGGCGCTTGGCACAAAATCAGCTCCTCTCAGCCCAAAATAGACAGAGAAAACCAAAGCCCCGAATCTGGCCCCAAATTCTGGGGGGGGTGGGAAATGGGGTGCAGGGCATGGGGGGGGGGGGCGCTGGTCCCCCAGCCCTCCACACACACACCCCACACCCCCCCCAGCTTCCCCATGGGCTGGGGTCCCCCTCGCCACCACTGTGTCCCCCAATAACCCTCACTTTGCTATAAAGGGGGGGTCCTAGCCCCCCCCCCCCCTCCAACCCTGGCCCCCACGCTGCTCCCTGGCCCAAAGTGCATGGGGCCGGGGCAGCCTCTCCCTGTGCAGCCCAGAGCCCCCTCCTCTCCTCTCCTCTGCTCTTCCTCCTCCTCCTCCTCCTCCTCTCTCCTTCCAAAGTGCAGTTAGTTTAATATTTTAGCCTCTCAGGGAGGGAAATAAATGCTTAAAAAATAATAATCTAAGAAGAGAAGGACAATAAAGGAAACGCTCGACATCGGGGCCCTTCCCTGTGCAAACAAACAAAATTCATCAAGTCCTGGGGCGCTGGGGGGGGGCTGTGGAGGGGGGCAGCCACGGGGGGGCACAGCAGGACCCCCCCCTCCTTTGGGCGCAGCGATCCCCCATTAAGAGAAATCGGGGGGGGGGTGTTTGGGGGGTGTGATGTGGGGCAGAGCAGGGAGGGGGCCAGTTGGGGGGGGTGTGTGTGTGTGTGTGTGTGTGTTTGGGGGGGGGGTGGCAGCCCTACACCTCCTGGTCCTCGAAGACCTCGAGGAAGAGTGGGGGGAAGAGCTCGGTGGGGCACTCCACCTTCATGTGCAGGAAGCGGCTGGCGTGGCAGGCGCCGATCATCCGCAGATCCGTCACCTTCATCAGCAGCTTGGGCCAGAAGTGGGGAATGTTGTGTTTGCGGTAGTTGATGTAGTGCTCGAAGGCCAGCAGGTACGTCTCCTGGCACTTCTCGATCTTCTCCACGCAGATCAGCCCCGTCCGGTCTGCGGCAACAAGTGGAACGTGGTGGCCGAGGGGTGCCAGGATCCGTGTCCCAAATTCCTCCCTTCCCCTTCTCAGAGCGTTCCCAGTGTGCTCACACCATGCGCTTCGTGCTCTTGGGGAATAGGGTGCTTGCCCCCTGTACCCCTCCCAACCCAGGGTTGCAGCACTGGGGAGTGGGATGCTCACTCCGTACTCCTGGGGCACTAGGAACTGGGGTGCTCGCCCCTTGCTGCAGCACCAAGAACTGGGGTGCCCACCCCTTGCACCCCAACTCCTAGAGTAGTGAGCATTCCAGTGCCCACAACACCAAGGTGTCCAAGCCCATGCACCCCAATGTGCCCACCCCCTATCCCCCCAAACCAGTGGGGACCAGTTCTCTCAAGGTGCCCACCCAATGCACCCTAAAGGTGCTGAGAGCCCTGGGCATTGAGATGCCCATCCAATGCACCCTGAAGGTGCTGGGGGCTTTGGGCATTTGGATGCCCACTCTGAAGGTGCTGGGGGCTCTGGACACAGGGATGCCCACCCAATGCACCCTGAAGGTGCTGAGGCTCTGGGCATTGCGATGCCCATCCAATGCACTCTGAAGGTGCTGGGGGCTCTGGGCACTGGGATGCCCACCCAATGCACCCTGAAGGTGCTGAGGTCTTTGGGCATTTGGATGCCCACCCTTAAGGTGCTGGGGGCTCTGGACACTGGGATGCCCACCCCATGCACCCTGAAGGTGCTGGGGCTCTGGGCACAGGGATGCCCACCCAATGCACCCTGAAGGTGCTGAGGTCTTTGGGCATTTGGATGCCCACCCTTAAGGTGCTGGGGGCTCTGGACACTGGGATGCCCACCCAATGCACCCTGAAGGTGCTGGGGCTCTGGGCATTGGGATGCCCACCCAGTGCACCCTGAAGGTGCTGGGGGCTCTGGGCACTGGGATGCCCACCCAATGCACCCTGAAGGTGCTGAGGTCTTTGGGCATTTGGATGCCCACCCTTAAGGTGCTGGGGGCTCTGGACACTGGGATGCCCACCCCATGCACCCTGAAGGTGCTGGGGCTCTGGGCACAGGGATGCCCACCCAATGCACCCTGAAGGTGCTGAGGGCTTTGGGCATTTGGATGTCCACTCTGAAGGTGATGGGGGCTCTAGGCATTGGGATGCCCATCCAATGCACCCTGAAGGTGCTGAGGCTCTGGGCACTGGGATGCCCACCCAATGCACCCTGAAGGTGCTGAGGGCTCTAGGCACTGGGATGCCCACCCAATGCACCCTGAAGGTGCTGGGGGCTCTGGGCATTGCGATGCCCACTCCATTCCCCTCCCCAGCATCCCCGTGCACAGCCAGCGCTTGCCGCTACCTGAGGACATGAGCAGCACGGCCTGGAGCAGAGCCACCTCGGTGTCATCCAGGTTGAAGGCAGAGAGGGACTTGCCCAGGTCGAAGATGGCATCGGAGACGACGCCGAGGCCGCCGTTCTTGAGCTGCTCGCGCTTGACGGCCATCTCCCCGCTGAGCGTCAGCGTCTCGCTCTCGGGGTCGTAGCGCACGGCCGCCCGCAGAGACATGATCTCCATGCAGCAGCCCTTCAGCAGGATGATCTGGTCTTCGCAAGGCAGCTGCGCGTTGGGGATGGTGTCAGTGGTGGTGGTTGGGGGGTGACTTGGGGTACCCCATATCCCACACACCCCCCCCCCCGTTACCTCTGAAAACATGGGCAGTTTTTTGGCAAAGTCGACCACGCGGGTGATGGCCGGGGTGATGATTTTTGTAAACTCGCTGAACGCCTCCAGGTCGACTTTGTCCCCGTCAGGCATTGAGGCCATGGGCGACTGGCCGATGTCCTCGGGCTGCGGGGACACACGGCGTTAGGGGGTCCCCAACAAATCCCAGCACCCCTATGGCAGCAGGGGGAAACCGAGGCAGGGCTGGGAGCGGGGCAGCAGCCAGGAGAGGGAGCTGTGTGCCAGCACCACTGCAGGGCCAGGGCCACCCCGCAGGGCACAGCTGTCCCCTTCGGTCACCGCTAACCCCTTAACCCGTCCGGGGGTGACAAGCTCAAGGACATCGAGCGACGTCCCAATTGCTCCCGAGCGTGCGGGGGGTGCTCAGGTCCCAAAGGGGTGCTGGTGTGGGGGGATCCCCCCCTCCATCCATATCCTCACCAGGAATTTCCGCTTCTGCTTCCAGTGGCTGCCCTGGG